CTACTCCTGTTACTTCCAATAGAGCTTGATGTAAAATACGAGCTGCTTTTAGCCCTCGATCTGGATGTGGACTAAAGCAATGAGGAAGGGGAGAAAAAGACTTTAAAAGCAACCACAAACGTGCACGCCAGTTCTAGGAAAAGCTGCCACTGGCCATGCACATCGACTGCCACCTCTCTGAAACCCTCAGCTCTCTGCTGAGCTTCATCCTGCAGTGGCGAGGCATTTCCCCTGCTCAGGCAGTTCTCTCCTCAGATCAAATACCTGCATTCTGGCTGATGCTGTTGCTGGGATGGAGGCATGAATATTTAGAAGTAACCCAGCAGAGTGTGTGACTTAATACTCTCCTTGATGTATTTTTTTACCTTTTTCTATTTTATTTTATTTGGCTCGTGGATTAGGGAGGAAAGGGGTGCCAAGCCACCCTGGTATGAATTCAGAAGGATTTGCACAAGTGCAGCTTTACTGCAAAACGCATCCTTATTCAGGTGATCCTGTCATGAAGAGAGGAACATGCATTCGGGTATGGCTGTTTGCTTGTTGGTGGTGACTTAGGAATCAGTTGGTACAAGAATTTAATCATCACTTCGTTACCATTTAGATTTTAAACGCAGCAAGCATGTCTGACTGAGAAGATCTTGGCATTTCCAGCAGCGTTATTCCTTCTGTGCCTTGTAGTGAGGGTTAGAGTTCCCCAGGCACCATGAGCACTGCAGACCTGGCTCGGTTCGGGCTGTGCCTCACCTCCTCTGCTGTGGGATGGGGTTGGGATGTTCCCATACAGGTCTGCGGTCGGGGCGTTGTGCTGAGCCCCACGCTCCCACCCAGAGCTTTCACAGCACCTGGCAAAGATGAGGTCACTTCCCGTTGCCCCTACAGAATAAAAATAATAATTAAAAAAAGGCAGTTTGTGAGTGCTCTGCTCAGACCTTCTTCCAGGAGGGAAGGAGGAGATGTGGTATTGATTTTTTTCAGTGTGCAGGTGGCTCAGGCATGTTCTCTGCTCTGATAAAACGTGAGTAGATGCTTCATAATTGTAACAGAAAATCAAGGATGCTTCTCTACGTCTCTGACTTCCCCCAGCATTTTGGCAAAGATCATTGGCCTAAGCAGACATGGAAGAGAGACAGTGGAATATGAACTGTGTCAGCATCCTGAATATTTAAGACATGGTCCACTGTATGGCAGAAGTATTATTGCCGAGGCTTCTGCTTGCTTGGTTTTTACATCCACCCATGGCTTCTTTGCGAGTGTTGACAAGCATCGTACCCAGTTTCACCTGGTTGGTAAGTGTGGGCTAAATTAAACCATCTGGAGATCCCTGGGCTCAGGGAGCAGCGTGCAGTGGTGAAAGCAGAGGCACAGATCCCTCTCCCCTGTGCAGAAGGTGCAGGCGCTGGGAGGTGCGTGGCCCTTGGCCCAGCCTGCCCCGTGTAGCCCCACAGCAAGCTGTAGGCAGCAAGAATTAGGTGGACCTTTACGTAGTTTGCAGCTTCCCACATGGATTTTATTACTTCGTTGTATGTCATGAATAGGCTGACTTACGCAAGAAATTTTACTTGCCAGAGGCATTTTTGTTGTGCTTTGATGTAATATCGCTGCACTATTGCATTATTTGGAATTAATTCTATTGTATGTTAAGAATTTTGTGTGCTAATAGCAAGGAGGATGAAAAGGACGTATTCTGCATTGTACATCATTTGTTCCTTCGTTGTGTTGTTACAAAATTGCTTCCACTGCAAAGCATTGCATCACCAGCACCCAAGCAGGGATGTGGGATTTTTGGAAGGAGAGGGTGATAGAAACAGAGATCTACTCCACTGTGTCATTAGAAATCAGACCAAAACTTACTTCTGCTTGCCAGCGCTCAGCTCCTCTGAACATGTGTTTCTGCAGTGAGACCAAGGATGCGTCCAGGTCATAGAAACTGTGCTTCCATGCAGACCAGGCGCAAACATCATCAAGCAATTAAAAAATATGTGTTCGTATTGTGCCAAGAGAACTGTTTGTTTATCTTTTGGATTAAAATCTTCATTTTCTACCTCTGTTTGCTTAAACATTGAGTACTTAGATCAGTTAAAGCAAAACAGAGTTCCGCATTGATTTCCACTGGCTGTGGATCCTTTGTGCACTATATGCGCTCCGGCATGCACCGCCCTTTGTTTTGTTTTGAGGTGCTTCTTAAGGCTCTACCAGCGAACAAGTGGCAATCCATAACATCCCCAGAAGCGAGATGGATAAAATAGCAGTAATCTGATAGTGACACTTAAAGGTCACCAGAACGCACGACTGAAAAGCCGGAGTGGCATTGCGGTAAGCAGCTTCAGAAAGGTGCTGCCCACTGAGGATGCTTGCATTTTTCTTTCAAAAAACCCTAAGAGGGTTGGTTTTTTTTTCCTTTTTTCAAGTGTCAGTTGTTGGTGAGTTTAAGTAGTTGCTCTGCTCCCTTGCATGGCAGTGGGAGCTGTACGTAGGTGCTAAGTATGTCATGCTCAGTGTCCTGTTAGCAGAATGACCTTTAAGTTCCTGTTTACTGGAACTTAAAGCCAGCACCAATCTTCCTGGTTATTGACAGCGCTGGGCTTCGCCATGCTGAGCACAGCGTACAGTTGATACTCTCTTGGTCATTCAGTCATTTTCTTTGGACACAATACCAGGGTATCATGTCCTGCATAGTTTGTCTTGTCTTGTGCAAGATCCCTGGAAAGAAAAGAGATTTGCACTCGGATTTAAAAAATAAATACTAATCTCAGTAGGACTCTTTCCGTTGACTTGGCCATGGCCTTCAGGCTCTTGTGGAGAAACTTTAAAAAACCCTGCTGGGGGTTTAAGCCATGTGACTGCTGTTGATATTATAATGAAATTTACAGTGCTTAAACCCCACAGGAGACCGACTTCTTACTTGGTGTCATGGCATTTCTGTGTTCATCTTGGTGTACGAGTAACGCGGGCTGCGTAATTTAATGCACTAACGTTTTTTGGGTTCTGCCAAACAGGCTGAAATCGTAACTCTCATATATAGTCTTTAATGGAGTGTTAACATGAAAGCCTAATTCCTCACACTTCGCTTTATTCAGAGATGGAAGCAGATGACAAAAAGCATCATTTTCTGAATTATTCCCCTCCAAAGTGCGTGGAGGGCAGTTGACCACGTGCTGTCTGACCTGAGTGGACAGTGTTCCTTCAGCCATCCTCCTTCTCTTCCAACCGAGGGAATGTGCTGAAGTTCTTTTCTCATTTACTTGCAAGGAATGCGTCGCTCCCTTTGTTCTTTTTAAAAACTCAACAGATAGAGCCTCTCCCCACTCGCATGTTTTAAAAACTGATTAAGTTGAACCAGTGAAATACTCCCTTATGGAGCAAGTCTTTGTAAGTCTTTCCACCTACAGTGTTTCTTTAGGAAATTAGCTAGCTGATGCATTTATTTATGCTTGAAAAACTATTCGGAAACTGTCAGAAATAAGATTTTAATGAAATAATGAATTCGTTTCAAGTACATCTCGTAATACCTCTTCCAGTCTGATCTGTACCTTTTTTCTTGTAGAGGAATTAAATTTTTTTTTAAAAATCCTTCCATTATCTTCAGTTTGCTGTTGGGCCCAAAGAGAATCCAGCAGGAATTTCACAGGGAACTCTCTTGCATTTCAGTTCACATGTTGCCTGTGCTCTGCAGTGCTCTATCCAGTGCGTATGAAACAATACAAGAGCAAAATTTTGTGTGCAGGCAGATAATGCTATGGAAAGAGAATAAACGGCATTTCCACATGTGTATAAGCATAAAATGGCAGAAAGTAGGTGTTTATCCATAACGTTACCTGTAATCTGGGATAAAATAAGTCGTAAAAGCCACACCTAGATGCTGGTATGTGTTCATATCCTTTGTGTATGTTTGAAGTTCATAATATGGCACAGACATACTGTTGCAGAAAGATTTGCTGTGGAAAATAGATACGTGTATAAGCGTAAAATAGAGATTTCAATATTATTTTGACATTTTATGTTTAAAAGTCATCTAAGGTTATGGAAGATGTTGCAAAAATAATTCCTTCACTTAAGAAGTTTCCATGCAGAAGTTGAATAAAGAAGATATTTTAGAATATGGTTCATCAGTCAGTGTAACAGATACATTTCCCTGAGCACCACATGGCCTGGATCAAAGCGTCTCATGACTTGGATCAGTGCAGCCAAATCATTACGTATTGATTGGAATCCCGCTGGAGGATTAACCCCTTAGTGTTCATACGAATTTGTTCTTTAACCCTGGTTTCAGTAGTCAGAAAGCTCAGCGACGTTCCTGCCAAATCTTAGCAAGGTTAACAGCCCCCACTAACCCCTCGTGCTGAGGAACCCTTTGATTACACGGTTCCTTTTTTATGATGAATTTTACATTTGAAAACGTTGGTGAATATATTTTGCGGGGATGTAGGAAGCCTGTGCTTGTGCAAAGAAACAGCCTGCAAGAGGAGAAAAATGGGACTGACAAAAAGCAAAGAGCAACCAAAAAAAACCAAACCCACGCACAGTAAATAGATGATGTGGTGGGAAAGCCAAGGCTTGGTGCTTTTCGCTGTCTGTAGTGGGGTGGTGCACCTTGGGCCCAGCTGTACCGTGTTCGAAGAACAGACCGCTGTATGGAGATGACTTCTTTTCCCAATTAAGTTGAATTGTAAATATGCAATATTCAGACATTCCTCAGCAAAATATCAAGCAGGATATTAAGCAGGTCTGTCAAATGATTTCTCCCCCGTCCGTGTTAATTTAAATTCTTTACAAAGCTTTTAATTAATGAATGAAATGTAGGAGGATAGCTAAGTAAGAGTGACACGTTTCACTCTGCAAATGCTATTTAATTCTGTTTTGAAAACCTGTGTGCAGAGTCAGGTGGGTACCATGAGATGTTAGGGCTGTTTCAGGATCTGTTGTTTTACTCTTTGTGAAGAATAATTGGTGCGGTACCTTCAGTTACAACACTTGCTCTCTTTTTTCTTTCTCCCCTCCAGTTTATCCCACGAGGAGCACTCACACAGCCATCCGCTCTATGGACACGGCGTATGCAAATGGCCAGGCTGTGAAGCAGTATGTGAAGACTTCCAGTCGTTTCTAAAGTAAGAATGGATTTTTGGCACTCGCATTGTACAGAAAGCATGCCTTGAAATGTTGTGCGCTGTCACTCACCACGGGTCTGATGCAAAGCCCATTGAAGTCAACTGAGAGCTCCCTTTCACTTCAGTGGCTTTTGGATCAGGCTCAAGAACGTTTTAACAGGGGATAGTGAATTAGCCCCATGGGGAAAGTATGGTCTTGCTCAGTGTATTACTATAAAACAGATTGTTTGCGATTCTGCAGTTGTTTTTTTTTTTTAATTTCATTAATTTTTAAGTTGCAGTATTGAGAATGTAAACAATGCAACCTTGATCTAACCTTGATTTCAGTTTAATTTAGAAATTTAGTCTTAAATTAAGTCCATAATTGGACAGAATTGCAGAGCATCACGTGAAATTTAATTTATGTCAAATAAGTAACTGATGAACAAAGTCTACACAACTAAAAATAAACTATAATTAAATTAATTGGGCCCCTGCAGTTTGCTGCAGACCTTTCCTTGCTGCCAAAGAACACAATTTTACACGTTGCATAAACAGTGCATTATGGACTAGTACGTGGTAATGTGTGCATCCCAATGCAGGGAAGGACCAACAGAGCTCTAATAACTTGCACATGGCTGCTTCACAGCTTAATCATCAGCCTCACCCTTCTGAGCTGTTCCTACTACAAAAGAGTTTTCTGTCTGGGTTGATCACCAGGTACACACGTGCTTCTGCTGCATCCACGTTCTTGAGTGTTTGCGCACTGGTCTCTTTGGAATGATGATGGCTATTCAGTTGCTGGATCTCAAAAGTGACTGTGATTTAAATGCACAAAGGGGCAAATTCTCCCATTTACAGTGGTGATCTCATGAAGTTAGTCCATGTAAGTCTGTGGAATTCATCAGGGTAGATAGGTAGAATTGGTCCCAAAACATTCAGCTGTATCTTTTCTTTCTGCAGCAGTTTGTAGGTTTTCATGTGAGAACAAGTAGCCAGCAGAGAATGTCAGGTGATGAGGTACAGGCAGGTTTTTGCTCTCAACGGTGTGGGCAAGTTCTGCTTCCATTGGTGAAACCCTCCTGAATTCAGTAGGTGCTAGTCGTAGTATAAACCTCTGTTACAAGTCAGGAATGGTACAGTAATGAAAAGGTTCTCATTACAAGAGGATTACAAAATAAGAAGGTACTAGTGATAAATTTCCATGAAGGGTGGCCTGCCTCATTTCTTTTAATTCATCCTGTTGTTCACTTAAGTGAAATAAATGCTAATCTCTCCATACTAGCCAGCTCATTCATATTCATGCCATACCATACCGTTTAGACCTTTAAAACAATTCTGTTTTTTATGGCAGTTAATGCAAGGGAAAGATGCTGTGGTAACCTTACTGGAGCAATCCGTGTAGTTGAGTAAGGTCAGATTGTGCCACCTCTGCTTGCTGTGGTAGTCCTCTGTTGTAGAGTAGAAGTAGATCTCCTGGTTCTAGCAAGGTTTGTTGCAACACAGTGCGCAGCTTGATGTGACCATGTGTAGAAAATAGAGCAGTTGGTTGAGTCACATGGTGTGAGCGGAGACAGGATTGGTTTAGATGGTATTCTGCGGAAGTTCTGGTAGACCCAGACCACCAGTCCATGTGAAGGAGTGTGGAGAGCCATCAGTAGGGGAAAGTAACCTGGAAGCCATTACAGGCCAGGCTGGACTTGAACCTGTTCTCAGCAGGAAGCGGCTGTGGCTGCTCACGGCTCCAATAATTTTAGTTATCGCTCACATTTTCATGGCAGTGATCTTTGTTCCCCATCAGAACTTCTAGCAGAAGTGTGTCTCTCTTAAGCCCGCTGGCTCACACTTGTTTTCTCATTATCCAAATTCTACAGTGTCCAAAGTCCTACTGTTCAGAGTGATGCTTAACCCTAAACAAATGCAGAAATAAACGTCCTGGAGGAGCAGATTGACACTGTTAGAAGTGAGCATTTCTTCATGAAATGTTACTGTAGCCTTCCAAGTCTCTTGTGGAGCATCCTTCCTTACATTATTGACATTCAACAAAATTCATTACTCAGTGAGAAGGTAACAGGTAGATGCTCGAAGTTTCTTTCTGGTACTCGTGCAATCCACAAGTCCCTTTTGATGGGCCCCTCAAGAGAAAAGCTCTTGTTTACAAGTGAAATACAGCCGGTGTATCTATTCAGCATTGCTTAATTTCACTTACCTTGGTAAAAAGGCCTGTTAGAAAAAGCAGAGAGGAGTTACGTGTGGAACGAGAGCCTTGTATGCCAATAAAATGATTCTGCAGTTAAAGGAGAAAAAAGGACTCACAGGTCTAAAACATGGTTCGTTTCTTTTCCTCCTGAGGAAGAAATATCATAACTGTTGGTAAATCAAAAACAGAGATTTGACACTCTTCTGTGATCATTCTGTAGTGTTTGTTCCCAAGGTGAGGTACACCACAGGGCCCTTGATTTCAAAGATAAATACTGTACAAATAACGATCCTGGTTGTCTTTCACTCACAGCCAACAGGAGGATGCTTATCAGAACCAGCAGATACTCCAACTATTGTACGCATTTATTTCCCTGTTTCTTTTAGAAATAAGTTGCAGTTTTAGCGTTGTTTTTTAATCTGTCAGCCACTGGTTGCCATGTGATGTGGCATCAGTTAGAGCTAACTGATAGCAGCGGGGGCAGCTGCTAAGCCTAATGAAACAGGAGCACCCCGCATGGTCCCCAGTGCTGCCCGAGCCTAAGAACACAAACACGGCCAGTGGCAACGCTGTGACCTGGTGGCCTTCTGCCAAGCCTTGGGGAGCAGGGTGGAGGCTGGAGGGGCCACACGTGTCTTGTGCCTGAACCAGCGCCCAAGTCTCAGTCGGCAGCGAAAGAAGCAATTAGAGAGACTTTCCTTTGGAACCGACTATCTGTGATCTCATTTGTATGTCTTTAAAGGCCATTGCAGAGAGAAGTATGCCCCTATATGACAAGTTGTTTAGGAAATCGCTGCTGGAGGGAGGGTGGTTCGTTCAGAGAGGTATCTAGGCATCCAGGGCATAAATTGAAGGAGGAGATGGAGTATGGTTTTATTTTCCCTTTTATCTTTTTGTTGCTGTTATTTGATTGCGGTTTGGATGCGTTTAATCATGGCAGCACCATGTTAAAATCAAATATACTCCTTAAATGAGAGATGCAGACCTTTGGAGAGATCCTGCAATCCCTAGTGCAGTGATGCTGGCAGGCTGCTTCGTGCGCATTTAGCTGATGAAACCAAGGAGAGTTTATGTGAAAGAAACTACTAAGTGCACTCCCTAATGTTTTCACAAGTGTTTTTATCATGGTAACATCTTGTTTACTTTAGTTGCCTGCCTAAAACTACTTGGAACATGTTAAGAAAACATTTCGAGAAAGCTTCTACAAAGAGGCTTTTGTTTAGCAGCAACTGTGAGACTGCTCAGCTCACAAAGGTGTTAACTTTCAACCCCTTAAGCACTTCCACATGAAATTCCAGCAACTATGTTTGTGGTTTTGGAAAAACAAAGTGTATATTAAAGAAACCAGGTATATGCTAATACATGTTGAAGTAGGCCGGAAATCATAAATTGTTTCAAAGGCATTAATTGCTCTGTCATTTTGCGTGTCAGAATGTGCCGCAGCGAGCTCATCTCGCAGACCTCGAGGTGGGCAGGGGAGCGGGGCGGCCCTCCTGGACCCTGACACCCCAACCTCCATCCTCCCCAGCCGACACGGGGGCTGCGGGCAGCGGGGCCGTGCTGCCCACGGTGCGCGCGGGGAAGAAAGCGGTCCTTCCAGTTCCCAGACGGTCGCCTATTCCGAGCCGCTGTTGGGATTTCGGTGCTACAGTTTCTTTTACAACATCCTTATTAACCTTTCTGACATTGTGCGGAAGTTCAGGACCTCTCCAGGCGCTGCGGGAGGAGGCCGGGTGGCCCAAATCCCACAGTGCCCTCTAGTGACACCTGGCATATCGGGAGGAAGGCTTTCCAAAAACGAGCCCGAGGAGCGTCCGCGCGCAGCCCCGCACCGACCGGCGTGGCGTCCGCGCTGTGTGCGGACACGGATGCTTCCGCCCTCCTGGTTCGCACTGGTGTGAGTGGGGCGGCTCTCGGCCCGCCGTGGCGCATTTCATGTCTTACGGTGCTCTGCGTTGATGCTTCACCTTATAATTTCCGGTGTGTAATCAGAAAGCATTACTTAAGAGACGAGGATCATCTTTGTTTCAGTCTTTTATTGACACTGTCTACCGTATTACTGCTGTGTCTAAATGGTAAAATTTATTATTAGCAATAGTGTCACAAAAGTCTGAGACAGCGATTTTCCTTTCAATAAAAGTAGTTAAAAACCTTTTAGAAAATCCATAATTTTGATTGCTGGTACTTCATAAATGTATAACTGGTACTTTTTAGCTGTCTCTTTAGGGAAAAATGAGTTTTATCACCTGCAGTACCTGGGTTAATGAAATTGTGTGTTGGAATTTAGCCAGAATGAAAGATGAGATCATTCGGTGGCACTGATATTGGCAACAGGTCTCATAAAAGGGTTCGGCTCTTTTTAGAGAAGTGTCCTTAGCGTTTTCCTCTTTTTTTTTCTTTTTTTTTTCTTTTTTTTTGAGGACGGAGGGGAGATTCGACGTATTTGTCATGTTTTGTAGTTTCTGTGGTTGTAAGATTTTCATCTGCTGTAATATCCCAAAGCCAGCGACCTAAAAGCTTCCAACAAAGGCCAAGG